AAACACACAACTTCTTATCAAAAGGTAAGTGGTTCAAACCCACCAGTGGCTCCAATGGAAAAAAGACCTGGGGGCCTGCTCCCATAAAGATGACAGCCTACGAAACCCTAAGATGCCATTCTATCTACTCAGTCATTCAGGATCGCTATGAATCAGAGTCACTCAAATACACACAACAACAAAGATACTAAGGTTACCGTGATTGAGATTTAAGAAAAAGATAGTACAAACCCCCAGAAAACTTATGTTCTAGAAGGGAAAACAAGTATTAAATAATTATATCATTAATTCTATAACTGTCATTGTGATTAATACTACAATGGCGTTTTCTGTCACAAACAGCATTCTCTATTTTTTCGTCTAGATTCTATAATTCATTGCAATGGCCCCACAGAACTCACAGAAAATGCTCGTAATTACAAGGTGAGTGAGAAATGTTCAGAGGATACAGATGTTCAGTGAGGTCATGTTACAAAGGTCGGCCAGAGTTGCTAATTAAAGCCCAAAGGGCATGTCGCTCCACTGTAACCCTCAACCCAAAGGCACTCAGCTCCAGCCCTGTGGGCCAGTAAACTCAACAACCCCAAGTTCCCATGAGCTCCCCTCTCCATAAGTCACCCTCCTGCCCAGAGCACTCAGCTTTACTTGCTCTGTGGGCCTGAAGGTATCACTCTGTCTCATGCTCTGACTCCTGGTGCTGCTGCTGCTGCTCTGCAAATCCTCTGATGTCACAGCTGCCTTCTGGATCGAGGAGGCTCCCTCCACAGGGATCTATGGATCCAGAGGACACACTCCACTCCTGGCTCTTGTTGGTAGTGAGATCCCCACTCTTGTTCCTCAAAGGGCTTATTTTATACCCAGCACGAATGGCAGTCCATGAATCCTGCTAACAGCTATTCATAAGTGAATCTTATCAGTGTCTTTTCCCCACCTTTATACCCAGATCCCTGTAGGAAAAGGTCATTTGGTGGGAGTGACAAAGGCTTTGGCTGGAAAACTCACATTAAACAATATACTGCCCCTGCAAGCCGAGTCAACAGGTGCCAATGGAAAACGTCCAATCAGCCCCTCTATTCACTATTGTATTTCCCCCACTTCCACTCAGTAAGTGGATCCAAATGGTTGCTATAACAAATATACTAAGCTCATTGGCTCTCTTTAACTTTCAGTACTAAAAGGGAACTTTCTTTGATGGGCATAGACTTTTCTGCATTGATGAATCTAATGACAGTTTACTTGGCTCAAAATTTCAAAAGCCAGTCTCTCTCTCTGCAGATTTCCATTTAAATGTAAATCTCCTGTTTTCTCAGCAGTTCTGAGTGGGCTCAGTTTTGTACTAAGGCCCTTCCTTACTCTACCTTGGGTTCAAACATAAGGTCATTTTTTCCCAGGCAATTTCTAATTCTCTTTTAGCATACCCAATCAAATATAAGTTTCAGACGGGTTTACAAACTCTTATAATCATGACTGATCACTATTTTACAATACCATGTATGAGAAACATTCAGCATCAATTTTTAATGACAAAAACTCACTACCCTCAAATTGATGCCAACTCACAGCATCTCTATACCCGGTAGAACTGTCTCTGTAGGGAAGAGTCAATGGTGGTACAGTGGTTACATGTTGGGTTGAGACCCAAAAAGTCAACAGCATGAAACTATCAGCCACTCCTTGGGAGAATGATGGGTTTGCTCCTCAGTAAAAAGTTAGAGTCTCTGAAACTTCAGTATCAGGGCAGTCAAATTAACACTGTGTTGGTGGAGTCCTAAGCTTCCAGCTGATGGCCAACTGACCTAGGATTGAGATGACCAGAATCTGACCAAATGGAGAGAAGGATGTTTGTCACTATGAGCAAGTATAAGATGCTGAAATTTAGCCTGTGTGACCAGGAGGTGTCAAAGGGATCAGGTATGAGGCATCAAAGAACAAAAAAATCATATCATTGTAAATGAAGGTGAGTGCAGAGTGGAGACCCAAAGCCTATCTGTAGGCAACTGGACACCCCCTTAGACCACAAGTTGTCGATATCAGGCATCAAGAAAAAAAAAATCATATCATTGTAAATGAGGGGGAGTGCAGAGTGGAGACCCAAAACCCATCTGCAGGCAACTGGACAGCCCCTTACTGAAGGGTCGCGGGGAGGAGATGAGCCAGTCAGGGTGCAGTGTAG